TGATGTGTGTGAGGTAGACGATATGTGTGATGCACGAGAGGTTTGTCGAATGCTAGCACACATCTCGGTTCCTTCCCATCAGCCAGATAACGCGATACTGGGAGGGAAATGTAAGCCAAACACGGACCTTCCGCCATGTTGTAGAAACAGTAGCATTTTCTGTGCCTTGCATTTAGTGTCAGTGCTACAGTCTGCGTAGATGATAATTACGCAACACCTGCCGATAAAAACAGATGTAATACGAAAAGAGAGACATATATGATTCGGGACCTCCTACGGTTCGGATAAATACTTGAAGCTATATTTGGAAAGGTATTAGACGCATGGGCGAACAAAGCGCGAATCCTGTCATGCGAAACATCTACGTAGAGAGTATGGTTGTATCAAGGAAATTTCCAAATATCCATTTTAAGGGGAAGGTATGTTGTGTTGCTAATATGCACACACGTACACACTCACGCACGCACGCGCGCGCGCGCGCACACACGTGCTTATATTATTTAACGCCTGACGGTATTGCTTTTGAAAACAGAACAGCAATAAAAGCTCGCATGTTGTGATTTCAAAGCGAGCTCAGTGTGTGTTTTTACCAACAAAACGACTTTGCCAGCTTCACATGTTTTGCGCTGTCGTTGTAGGAGACGTGATATGCTTTAAGAATTCGCGTGTGCTTCACGGACGAGAGGCCTTCACAGGACGCAGCGCAATAGAGAGACACCTTCAAGGATGCTACATGGACGAAGACGTCGTACGATCGAAGCTGTTGTCAATCAGAGATGCTGTTTCCAACAAACAGCAGGTCGACAACCAAGCAGCCGCGTAGGCTTGAACGGTTGTCAATCTATCGATCTGTCAATCTATCTATACATCCATCCATCCATCCATCCGTCCGTCCGTCCGTCCGTCCGTCCGTGCGTGCGTGCGTGCGTGCGTGCGTGCGTGCGTGCGTGCGTGCGTGTGTGTATATGTATATATCATTAGTCACGTCACTCTGCTGTGTATTCGCTCTAGCAGAAAGGGGGTTGTGTTCTTGCTACTTAACGTTATTTCTATATAGAATATAGTTTATTTATATATTTCGTGCAATATATATTACGAGTAATTATTACTATTTTATCTATCCTTTAAGGGAGATGTCTGCGTATGCGTGCGTGCGTGCGCGTGTGTGCGTGCGTGCGCGTTTATGACACGCAGCAGAAGCTGGGTCCAACTGGAAGAAAGGGATAACCAGGTTACCTACCCCGGTGTGTGGGCATCCTAGTAGCCCGGTAACGTTCTGCCAATAGGTTCTTTCCTGGCAGCGTCTCCAGATGGGCTCCGGGCCGCATTTTAATAACGAACAAGGGAACGCTCACGAATCCTGTATCTGAAGTATAACAGCAATACGTCTTCTATAGTACTTAAAGGGGAGGGCATCCACGAAGGGGTAGGGGGTGTCTGTCCAATTCTCTACCCATGCCTCGTCATGGCTTGCGACGACCCCATGCAGACCGCCTCCCATACTACCGGCTCACTTACTACCGCAGTTTGCATGGATGCTCGTATGGGGCCCGTTCCGATTTTAGGCCAGATCTATTTTCCTTTACTACGTCCGATTTTCAGCAAACACAAAAAACGGCTGGCCAATTAACAATTAAATTGGCAAAACTAACAAAAAGCGCGATAACAATTCGGTACAGCTAACAGCGCTGCCTGCGCGTTGCTGGTACAAGTGATTCAGCTGCCGGCCAATCGACTTACACCATGCGTGTCCCCACGTGCAACTATCCAAGTCACTATAACAATAGATAGATCATATCAGACAGTAGGCCTACACTGACGAGTCATAACACGATATTGCAAGTTTCTCCCCGTGACTTGACCAATTGGCGCGAGACACAACGCTTGACAACGGTAGGCACGTTTATTTATTCTAGCACGCATTTATTATTCAATTATTCATCGAAAACTTCGAGTATTATGCATTTTGGATTTTGATTATTCGTCTGTAGACTGACGCAGCAATGAAGACAGCTTATAAACAAACGCAATCCATGTTGATTACACGCGCCATAAATATCATATAATAACCTATATAGGTATAATAGTAGTACATCATAAGGTATTTATGGCGTATGATACATATCGCTAGACGTTCTATTATAACTGCTCCGTTTGGGTTGCTTCATATTTGTTCTGCGGGGCGTTATTTCTGTATCTCTCACTCGCATACAATAGATAGAGGAGTTGGGAACCGTTTTTGAAGGGACGAGGGATCTGGGAACCGGAGGATGCCAGATAATTTTATCTTGATTCGGGAATCGAACGGCCGATTTTATTTAACCGGGAATTGGGAACTATATGTTTACCTGGGATGTTGGGACTGGACCCCTACCTCATAAAGCTACTTGATCAGTACGGCGTGTGGTTAGCTGAACTAATATAGGAGAACCGCTTTGGTTCTGCCTGTAATATTTCTGCAACGACGATGGGTAAACCCTACGCTACAGTTATATCTGTCTGTGATATTTGTATATATATATATTGAGGGGTTAACGGTTATTCTCGGGGACGTGCATGGAATCGAGCCATTTTAATGATCTGGGAACTGGGAAAAACCAGATATTTTTCGTGCTTGGGAGATTGATGGAAATCAGTCGGGATGCGGGAAAGCCTTCTACATTGCGATTCATTCTTCTGTATTGCGATTTTATTAATCAGGGAACTGAAAAATTATTATTTACGTGGGCATCAGAAATGGACCCCTTCCCTTGTACCCCTTCTGTGTTGGAACGCAGGCATCTCTCTTATAGTATGCTTAATTAGACTCCAATTCGTTCCTACCCACTGTGGTCACGGTGACGTCACAAACGGCAGGAATATCTACAAACGTAAATATCTACAAAAAAAATAATGTAAAAATCACAGCAAATAATCGAACGTCAAAGTGACAGGTAACAGGCCACCGCCTGTAGATGTTAGATGTTAGTTTTGTCTGTGGTTCCGCACATTTCTATGGTTACTTCCCCCGTTACAATCAGATACTTAACATCCGCGTAGTCTGTGGGTGCCAAAATGGACAGTGGCGTAGCAAATAACTCGAGCAACGTTGGGTATCCTACTAGTGTGGTACACGTCGCGAACTTTTGAGTTAGTTTCACTATCGTTTGAATTCTACGATGAATACATTCCCCCTATGTGCTATGTGTCATCATGCATCGTGGTTTCCAAACGCGCATGGTACTACATCGTATACCGAGGATTCACTGTATGATAAATCTTCCATGGAGTAGCACGAAGTATTAGGTGTCACCATATTGCACTGACCACAGTTGCTTATACGTGCAGAGGCGTGATATTGCTCAAGTATTTGGTGCTGCAATGTTTGCAAACCTCCCTTCACAGAGGGAGTTCGGGCATGCCTCTGCTAGCCAGTAGATGTCGCATCGTGCTAGGTTGTACGTACCATCAAGGACACCACACTTTTAAATGAACAATTTTCGGGAATAAAGTTAGGTAATTTAGTAAAATTAGATAGATACTTTTTTTTAAATAAAACAACATAATTTATGTAATGCGTTAATGTACATAAAAGTAACGTTTTAACATAACATAATAAACAGTGACAAATGAAATTATGTGAAAATAGTTTTAAGAAAAAATTGTTAACACATATACTACACACTGACAGTAATATGCAGAAATATATCCCTGTTATCTTTAATCCCAAGAGAAGAATCTGAAATTTTGGTGCTTTGAAAATCTTCAATAATTTTGTTTGGTGGTTACTAAAATGATTCCAATTAACATTAGAACAGGAATAAAGTCAGTATATTAAACAAAGCAATATATGCTATACATATATTTATTATTAGTGTATCAAACAGTTATAATATGCCACCAATTTTGTTTTATATTATAGGATACTAGATAAGATAGTGTGTTCAAGATCTATTGTGATCTATTACAAGAGATAGGTATAAAATACTATGTGGGACGATTTTGCATGGTTTTGTGATATGCTGATTAAACAGTTGTAAAAATTAACATTCTTATTTTTAGATTTAATATTGTAGTTTATTTTGACAGTTTTACATTTAACATTTGTCACAGAATAGGCATGCAGTGTCCTGCTGTTATGGTCATTTAAATTTAGCTACGACTTTCAAGACACTTCATACACACGCAGGCAGGCGCACACACAGAGCTCGGTGTAAACTGCCACAGGCGATTTTTATATAATTAGTCCAACTCATTGTAGTATGGGACCAGTCTGCTCAAAAATCACATAAAAAGTAAAGAAATTTCTTTCAAACTTGCGCAGCTAATTATTCATGAGGGAAGTATAACGAGTGTCTACCAGCTGCTCATTTTGCTAGCTCTTCTGCGCTGAAGCCAATGCTGCCTCATTCTGTATCAGCTGGTACTCCTGAAACCGTTGTGATATTCGCTGAGTCATCTTCAAATATTTCTCCATACAATGAACAGAACATGTCTCCTGCAAAGCATAAAGGCATTTGAGTTATCATAGTCTGCAGGCTTGACTTACGTATGCGAAATGGTGTTAGTGTGACTACAGGTTTAGCTGGACACCTGTCTAGCATATGATGTTGAAGATTATTCTAGAGGTAGAGAACGTATATTAAAATTTGGTCTATTTATATATATCAACGGCATATCAATGCTTTGATTATATCAGGAGTGTCATTATACACTCTTGATTGTATCTGTTTTGCTCTAGATATGCTTACCCTATTGCACAGTGCTGCCACCTCGTGTCAAACTAATTAACCTTGCATAAACAAAAAATAATAACTGTTGTCGACTTTCTATATCTAATCTTGTAACTACAGTTACTCCCATAGTACATAATATTGATATATTTTAACACGGGTTTTAAACAACAACCATTAAAAATTCTCATAACATGTAAATTAAAGATAATTCAGATAACGAAGGGTGGTATACATGTACACTCCACATGACTGGCCAGTTTAGTAATCAACCGTAATTACCCAATTCTTACATCAGTACAGCACTTCGACCTCCAATGATACTAAACTGTACTTTCAGTGAAATTTTTCAAATGTGTAAATAATTTTTTTTTGCTCTTTATACGTGGGGGCAATGACATTCTACGTATCACGCTTAAATGCTGCAGGTAGACTTGTCAAGGGGACACATAGATAGTTCCTCACGTAGCCTACCTCTCTATCATGCACTTTCCTGACAGTGAAATCATGAACACAGTCCATAAAGCACATCTCAGATAACTTGTTATATGAGGTAAGGAACTCCCTAAACTGAAAAAAAGCAACAACAAAACATGTTATACCAAGCGGAAACAAGCCGTGGTAATAAAACCAATGTCACAATGAAAGTTTATTGTAAAAGGATTCCCATATTCTAGGAATTCATATCACAATAATGCACTTCCTGCTTAAATCCTGGCACACGTGAGCGATATCTGAGTGCCTGACCACATAATAACCCGCACACGTAACCAAAAATCACCTGTGTGCTATTCCTTGCGAATGAAATCTGATCATGGTGTGCCGGAGCACATCAAGCAACTTTGAACCATGCAATTGGTCAAATCATGGACAATTGAAGAGGTTTCTTAGGAGCATTATGGACACTATTATTATCAACATTATAACAGGCATAGAGATGCTATACTTTTTCTGGACCCTATTCCACCAAGTGTGTAAAATAATAGGTTGAATTTTGAGATTTGGAGAAAAGATAATACACATAATTTTGCATTTATAAAAGCATCAAAATGCTCTTGACCCATCCCCCTCTTCCAGCATATGGTTTGTTGTGGTAATGACTGTTAATCACCCTAAAGCACACAAGTAAAATTTATTATACAGCTCTTACATCATAATCATATAATAAAATGTTACTGCATCCAAATATGTCAACAACTAGTGGCATAACCAGAAAAAAAGAGAATGAAATAGCATACTTGTCGAACTTCTGCTTGCTGTCTCTCAGCTTCTGTAGTAGGGGAGAGTATATTTTGCATCTTCTTCCAAAGATCAGTAGTACTTCTTTATGACGGTTTGTATAAGTATAACCAGTCACCTGACACCTGTAGAAAATAATTACCATATAGCACGAAAATATATATACTCGTGTTGAGACACGTGTATATATACGTATGCATATAATGTGTACTCATGCAGTGTTTCCCCTGGCCAAAAAGGTCTGTGAGGTGATAAATGTTTTTTGTGATGTGTTTGCGCGTTTCGAGGTCCTAGCAAAGCGAGCAGCGCAGGTGCTTGCCAAGCTATGGTGTCCCGACTCCCGAGGCATGCTTCCCCCTTTTTTTTTTAAATGGTGCAATTTGGTGCATTCTAAGCTATTCTGAACACATTGTATGAGACTCTTGAATCTCTTTTTCATGTTGTCAAAAGTTTCGTCAGCGAGGCAGTGTTTTGGACAAATTTCTGTGTGGCGGCTGAGAATTTGAGCGAGGCGGCCGGCCTCGCTTGTGTAAATGCAGGGGAAACCCTGTCATGTATAGGTATGTGTGCACGTCCGTGTGTTTTTAATACTGTTTATGCCCATCGTTAAAGGTCACCTTTAAATAAATTTCTGTTTGCACTTGATTGCAGAGGTAGATAAGTAGTTCACAATTACTCATAAAAATGTAAATGTCATGTGGAGGAAGCACAAAATACATGATGCTATAGCCCAGCGGCAACTGTACGCGGGCTATAGTACTAGAGCTACCCTCAGACTAGCTCTAGTACTATAGCCCGCGTTCGATATACTGCCGCAGGGCTATAGTACATTGTCGGCTGGAAATACCAACTACGACCTGTTACCACCTGTCCCCATGAAAAATGGATCGCAAAACGCAAAGTTATCGGGCTTTTTAACACTTATTTATCTACATGGACATCTCACCTATCTTTTTGAACACTTTCAACAACTTTACACCATGTATTTGTCCTTTTATTCCACAAAGTAAGCACTACTGTCATTTCATTTTGAAACGAGTTGCGCACGCGTGACGTTACCGGATATGTACGCAAAACACATGGCAGCTATGGTGCATGTATTATTCACGGGGGTGATGGGGTGAACTCGCGCTGATGTGCCAATGTGCGCACGAGCGCGAAAAATCAAAATGGATCAGAAGAAGTGTTAGCTCTAGTACTATAACCCGCGTTCGATAAACTGCCGCTTGTAAACATTACTCACGTTGCCAAGCAACATCAGCGCGTGTGCACCCCATCACCCCCGTGAATAATACATGCACCATAGCTGCCATGTGTTTTGCGTACATATCCGGTAACGTCACGCGTGCGCACGCCACTTCGTTTCAAAATGAAATGGCAGTAGTGCTTACTTTGTGGAATAAAAGGACAAATACATGGTGTAAAGTTGTTGAGTGTTCAAAAAGATAGGTGAGATGTCCATGTAGATAAATAAGTGTTAAAAAGCCCGATAACTTTGCGTTTTGCGATCCATTTTTCATGGGGACAGGTGGTAACAGGTCGTAGTTGGTATTTCCAGCCGACAATGTACTATAGCCCTGCGGCAGTTTATCGAACGCGGGCTATAGTACTAGAGCTACCCTCAGACACATTCGTGATTCGACATGTCATTGCATTGCTAGACTGCTTCAAGTTATATATTTCGATTGCCCAGTAAAACCACAGGATATGAATATATGAATTTGCTCTTACATTCACTTACAAGAAATATTAAATTACATTAATAACAGAGC